ATAATGCAGAGTAATGGTGTTGAAAGTCTGTGCTAAGTAATGTTTTGAAATTTAGGTGCCACATTGCCAGCATGTTTCTGAGTTGACAGTCCTTGGGCAGCATTCCATAATGTCTCTAGTTTATGTCTTAACTGAGCTGACTGGGAACACATCAGAAGTTACAGCTTCCAGTTGTTCTAATGTGCTACTTGCCAAACCGTTGGTGTCACAAAGGAAGCATTTCCATTACTTCATGTAGCTTATAACTTTTCTTTTAAATTACCTCTTGGAGGTAATTTCTTTTAGGTATAATCTATGCTAGGATTACATTTGGTTATCCCCTTCAAAGTTCAGGATTTAAACTAGTTAAAAATCTTTATGTACTTCTTTGCATTCAAAATAATATAAACCTTGTTAATTTCAACTTCAGGAAGCCTTCAGAGATTTTGTAAGGACTTGAGCAATAGCTTAGAAAACAATTTGGATTGTAATATATAGTATTTTCATGAATAAAAATGTGGCACTTTTGAGACATTGCAAAAAGGACCTAATTTAGCCTAGAGTAATTTTCTCAACTCTGTACCTTACAAAGGTTGCTCAGTTGTTGGGCTGGATGGGGATCTTTTGTCTATATGTCCACATAATGTAGAGGTTGTATGTCTCAGATGGTGTCCTCAGTCCAAACTTACTCACCTGTGAGAGACTGGTCTCCTTCCCTCTTTTAGGCAACCTGCCATACATACCACACAGTCAACTAGGTCTACCAGGCAGTGGTTTCCAAACCTGGAAGAGCTGAAGGAATCACCTTACTCAACTTTTAACAATTTACATTTCCAGACTATAGCTATGGAGAATCTGAATCACTAGAAGTGGCCTTGGCCAGGGGCCCCTACTTCCTGGCCCCTCTCCTGTCCTTAACACAGTTTGGTGGCCACAGTACGGCAATGCACCCATGATATGCTGTATGTGGAGTAACATTTAAAATGGCAGCAGAATAATGTGGATAAATTGGGGGGAAAAGAGGGCACAGCAACAACTAGAGGCTAAATTATTATAGACTGTTAAGAATATCCAATGCAGCAGGGAACAAAAGCATTGATTCTACTTCATCTCCTGTTACTATATAGTAAATTCCCTACATACGAACCTTCAAGTTACGAACTTTAAGGATGGTCACCTGTGTTCTTTTATGTATTATTTCTCTCCACCAGATGTCGTTATAACCTGTAAAATACGTACAGTACTATATAGCTGATTATGTTAGTTAGGTATCTAGGCTAACTTTGTTGGACTTAAATTGGATTTACAAATGTAATCTTGGAAAGGAACTTGTTTGCATGTTGGGGACTTCCTGTATTCTATAGATTACAAAGCCGGGTTTTGCCTTGATATTCTTCTCTCTTCTTCCCCACATCTGTCATGTGACTGTGTGTGTGTGTGTGTGTGTTTGTGTGTGTGTGTGTTTGTGTGTGTGTGTGTATGTGTGTATGTATCTTGGAGAGTTTGTTCTGTCTTTTCTTTTCTTCAGTTTCTTATCACAGCCAGTTAAATAGAATGTGAGAGAAAAAGATAGATATATGGACACTTCCGGTAAAGTGTAAGGAGACAGAAAAGAACAACATTTAGGATAAAACAAGAAGAAAAACTCTTGAAGAATATATGGAAAGCAGTTCCTGTGAGTGTAGAGTAACAGTATTTTTTTCTTTGATCTTCTGAAGATATCCTGACTACTTAGCAGATTTGTATCTCATTTTCCCAAGTGGATGTCTTTATTTATAAAGACTGATAGCATTGTCACTGAAGGTGATCATTCATCAAAAAGTTCTTCTTACATAGGGAATCTTCTAATGTTCTTTCCAAATTAAGCCAGGGAAGTCTGGCATGATTGTCATTTATTCAACAAATATTTATTGACAAGAATACAAGCAACATGACAAAGAAATAAACAGGCAATGACAACATGGAGTGGCAAGTGCTGTGACAGGGAAGGTACAGAGGGTGGGTGACACAAAGGAGTACTCTTCACCACTCCTGGGGAGTGGGGGAAGGCTTTCCAAGGAAGTGAGATCTCAAGGTTGCATCTTGCAGGGTGAAGAGTTGCTCACCAAGAGTGACTGAGGAGTTGAATATGCCAAGGCTTATGACTGGAGAACTGAGGGCGGTCCTGTCTGGACAGAAGCTGGCAAGAGATGAGGCTGGGAGTTAAGTGGAAGTCAGATCTTAATGCTTCACACAAAGAAGCTCAAGTTTTACAATGGGGCAGTCCATTTTACATATGGTTTTTATATTTTAGTTGTATTTGTCTTCACAAATAAGACATCACAGGTAAGAAGTGTTACCATTCTGTTTGTCACAAATAAACAGAAAGTTGTAAAAGTAGGCATGTGAACAGAAGTGGGTCATCACATCTGGTGCCTATCCTCAGAAAGGTTTGCTTGCAGAATTGGTCCATGACCAGCTTTTGGGAACTTGGCTGGTAAACAGTTGCCTGCAGTGATATAAGACTTTTCCCAACTGACAAGTGTGGCTTGCTCTGTCTAGACGTGAAAACAATATGGTGTAGGCGGAAAACCTGCTTTCCTTCTGGAACTTTAATATGTACTAGGCCAAAGGTGCCTGTGTGACCAGCTTCCAGAAAAATCTTGGATGCCAGGTCTCTAATGAGCCATCTTAGGCAGAAACATCACATGTATGTCATCGCGTTTTCATAGCTGGAAGGAGTGTGCAGTGTATGACCCTTCATGAGAGGGAGGAAACATAAGAAAGCTGGCACATGGATTCTTCTAGGCTCTACCTGTCTTCCCCCCTTATGAGCCAGTGTATGTCCTTAGTACAACACTGTGATAAATCTTAGCCATGAGTCCAATTATGGGCTAAGGCCCACGAGTCGTATTTTCAGTGACTCGCCTAACATAGGGGGTATCATGAGGATCCCCAACATGTGTGCTAAAATAGTTACTGAATGAGGGAATGAATTGAGCAGTCAAAAAGAGGTATTAGTGTCTATATATATTATATATATGTAAATATGTGTGTGTGTGTGTGTGTGTGTGTATTTTTAGCTAAGATTTTTTTAGCCAGTCTGATTTCTTACCATATGTCTCACATTCTCAAACTTGGCTCTAAATTACTTTTGACTTCTGTCTTCAAGTGATAGAGATGTGTCAGCTTTGAGAGAGTCAAAAGCAAGAGCTACTCTCAAAGAACTAAAAACTGTGCTTCCATATGATCCATCAATCTCTACCCAGAGGAACATGAATCACTCTACCAAAAAGACACCTGCACACACGTTTGTTGCCACACTATTCACAATAGCAAAAGTGTGGAACCAACCCAGATGCCCATCAAAAGTGGACTGGATAAAAAAAAATGTGGTACATATACACGATGGAATATTATGCAGCCATAAAGAAGAACAAAATCATTGTCTTTGCTGCAATTTGGACGCAGCTGGAGACCATCATACTAAGTGTTCTGTCACAGAAACAAAGAACTGAATACTGCATGTTCTCACTCATAAGCCTGCCCTCATCACTGGTCATACTAGCACAAGGATGGGACGGCAAGTGCTGGACACTGTTAGGGGGGAGAGGGAGGCAGAGGGATGGGGCCACATGGCTCATTAGAGACACTGAGTACCTGGTCCATTATCAGGCAGGGAGCTGCTAACTCTAAGAACAATTTCAAATCAGGAGATCCAGAAAGGATTTAAATAATGGCAAGCATCCTAAGGTAATATCTTTCCTTTTAACAGATGAGAACATACTTGTGCAGCTTCTGATATTATAAAAGCAACCACGTCATAGTGCAACACCTTAATGCAACTGGCCTATTTTGTTATGTTAAAAAAATATGTTAGTATTTATGAAATGATAGCAATGGACTAGATATTTTTATATAACTTGCACTGAAAAAATTCTACTCAAGATTTACTTTAAAAGACTTTCTTTTTAAACAGTTTTAAAATCAAGTCCTGACTTACGGCTTCATCTTAACTGTGAAAATTCCCTGGAACTCCGTCCTATCTTATAGAATTACTGGCAGTAGTGTCGTCCTGTTAAGTAGTGCCCCTCCGACAGCCTTAATTTTTTTTTTCTATTATCTTTGTCTCAATCTGGACTGAGGCAGAATTGTAAAAATAGCGTGTTTACTGCTCCCTGCTCTCTGTATGACCTTGTAGTCTTTCTTAGTAGCCTTTTCTCCATCCCAGTGGTAAAGAACACCACTTCTTAAGAATGGCTAGACTTGTTTTTGGTCTTTATTTCTTGTCTAATTGGAAGGGATTTACAGTTTATAAATGAACTTTAATATGGAAGGTCCCTGGAGTTATTCATATACAGTGACATGGCGATTTCCCAAGTTGCAATTCTACAAGAGTAGCTTTCTTCAGAGGCTCTTTGCATAGTTTCTGCTCCCATTTTGTTGCCTTCCCAGCCTTTATTTTTCTCTTCTTTTTTTTACTTATCACATCTCATCAGATTCCTTCCCTCAGCTGGTCATAAATACTCATTTTAATATTTATTGCCCTTATGGAATGAAGTTTTATGATTCTTGTTCAGAGTTTTAAAAGCAAATGAAACCTTTTTTTTTACTGTATTTCTCTGTTTACAGTGATTTAATGGAAATTCTTTTCACTTATAGAAGTCTAGATTCTTTTTGTTATGTTCGAATAGGAAGATTTCGGGTTTTTTTTTTTTTTTTACTTGATGTTGTCCTCCTGGGTCAATCGCTTTAATGGAAAGTATGTATTCGATTGCTAATATAAGTTTACTTAGAATCTGTTGGTTGCCACCAAAAGTTCAGCTCTAACCAAGTGTAGGCTCTTTATGGGGCCCCTTGGATTTAGAGGCTTAATGAAGTGAGTGTTGTAAGATTTGCTGGTGTTTGTGGCATCACTGGTTTTAAAAGAAGAGTTCCTGAAGCTTCTAATAGTAACCGTAATAACCTGATAGTCTTTTTTTTCTTCTCAAAGAGATATCATTGTGTCCTCTCTATTGTGACCTTTTGTGTTTTCATTTTAGTTTTCCAGAAAGATGGTCATTCAGAGCTTACACATCTGTTCTGTATTTTGATCCATGGATGAGAATATTCATTCAAGCCAAAAGAGTTAAAACTAAACACCTATGTTATTGCCTCTACAGACCCAGGTAACTCACCTTTCTTCAGTTATCCTCATAGAGTTTTTATTTATTTGGCAGTAGCAGCAACACACAGTAGTGAACTTGCAAGGTTAGATGATCATTTCAAGTAGAAATTTGTTTTTTGCTTCAGTAAATCTCAAGTATTTTGACTGTAATTAGTTCCATTAAAAGGTCACGGTTCACTTAGATTTTCTGTTTACACAACATGTTTGAACTATTAAGCAATATGCATACATGTTTATGATATTATGCATATAGATGAATATATTTATAAATACATATCTGGTTCTTTAGTATTTTATTTCTTTTTATACTTTAGCATAAACCTTTTTAAAGTTTACATTTGTGTATAATAAAATCTATCTTGTCCAACTATGTATGCAGTCAGAACTGCAATTTTTTTGATGTGGTTCCTGGGTGGTCATTTATTTATACACCAAACATTTATCATATTCTTCTGTGAGTCTGAGATTGTTCTAGTTACAAAGCACAAGAAAGATAAGATTAATCTAGTTTTGAGGCTTAGTATCTGTTGGAAGAAACATTTAATGCTTGCATACTGTCTCTATATGTGTCTTTTTACCTGCACTATTTCATTTGATTTCTGCAGTGACACTGTGGGTTAGGTTTTATCATCAGCATTATAGAGATAAGGAAATGTCAAAACTGGAAAATAGCTCAAATCTTGTGGCTCCAAATTCTTTACTAATCCAAATTTTTTGCTTCTTCCCTTATATAACATTAACTCTTTGTAATATACCTACATTTGTCTTCTTGTCTTATTTTCATGAAAAAGCAGTTGCTGTCCTGGGGCCTTGCAATCACTTATGTAGATATTAATATTAAAAATTATAGATCTCTGCATCTTATTCCCTGACCAGACCACCAATGGATTACTCATTTCCTTTTGATTACTAATTGTACTGCAGATCATCTTTGGAAAATAAAGTATATCAAGCCTGAGACTTTCCCTATAAATTAGTCTGTTCATTCCCTAATAAATATCAAAGCAGTGTTTCCTTTTCTTTTCTTTCTTTCTTTTTTTTTTTTTTTTTTGAGGCAAAGAAAGAAAAGTTTATTTAGAAGTAAATTAGAGAGAGAAAAAGAAGGAAGAGAGAAGATTCACCTTCTCAAGGTTGGGGAGGAAGCATGGTGACAGCCAGGAAGCATGGTGACAGCCATAGCTCAAAGAGCACATGGCCACACCAGAGTCTAGCAAGACAATGGCTATGTTTCCTCTTCATCTGTCTCATTCTTCTGGGAAGAACCAGGGGTGTCTGGGATCAATCAATATTGCTGATCTTTCCAAAATAATGATTTCTCTCAGCGAGACTGGGTAAAAAAACGGTTTAAGCCAATGGAAAATGTGGACTTGTCTCTATTTTATAAGGGAATTACAGTAATTTGAATTTAATCGACCAAAATTACTCATATCAAGTGATGGCTGTTTCCCATTTGAGTGTATTTTTTATTCATTTTTCATAGAGATATTCTTATATGTGTATATTACCAGGACGTAAGTATAATGTGTATATATATGCATGTGTATATATATTTCCCTAAAATAAGTTTAAGGAGGTTTGAACCTTTGCCAAGTTTCATTTGACGCTCTGATAAACTGTTAAATCTGATATTTGGTATCTACAGTACGGAAAGATTTATTTTTTATGTCATTATATTTTAGGACTTTGCCATATTTTACTTACATATAATTTTCCTCTCCGGTTTTCTGGTTGCAAAAGTCTGGCATAAAAAATATGAGTAATTTCCTCCATGTTATCCCATCCCTAATGGGATAACTAACCCCTACACCTTTTTTTTCTTCCCTAAAAGGCACTGTAGCGCTAATGACTCTGTTAGAACAGATTAAGAGCTGGTATTGGCCCTATTTGAGTGACATAGAGGCATTTAAAGGGTATTAAAAAGTGATTAACTACTCTGTCTACTTGGCCACGCTGGCTATAATAAACTTCTGAAATTGCAGGAGACTTGCTGGCATCTTTGACTCAGTGTTTTCATGACTGTGAGGTTATGGAGACCCGAAACAACAGCCCAGGGTTGCCCAGGATATACCCAGGCTCTACTGAATTTTCTTTGCTGGGTATAACAAGCATTTGCTTCTCTAGGCGTGGGTTTTTAAGACTTCCCTGTTGGACAGACTTTAGGGACAAGCTACTTCAGAGGACTTTGGCTGCTCTCATAGCTTTCTTTGGTTGAATGCTAGCCCCTGGTCCAATTAGTAGATTTAATGACCAGAAAATTTGAAATCCAGTGTGTCCAGGACAGCAAATTTGTTTTCTTTACACAGACATGGCATGCAGTGTAGCAACTCAGAGAGGGCCATGAGTTTGGCATAAGATTAATGAAGTTGTTTATGCTATCCATAGTGGAAGGGACTCCCACCCAAGATGAGTACACATTTGTCCCTGGAGGAGTCTCGCTTGTTGAAGAAATTATGACTTTGGGAAGAGTTTCAGCTAGGTGATTTCTCAGGTCTCTTTCAACATAAAGATTTTTATGAGTCTGTAATTCTTGGAGTCTTAAATATTGTGTATCTGTACAGACAAGTTATTAGATGGCTATGTTACTTCATCTTAGGCAAAAACATTACTGGTTTTCTTTGACTTTGAGTTCTCTAGTAGAGAAGTATTTATACAGACATTAAATTGCTGCATATTAGGATTAAAGAAGGAGTAGCTAGGCTCGGTGGCTCAGCTTATAATCCCGTGCCTTTGGGAGGCTGAGGTGAGTGGATTGCCTGAGCCTGCGGGTTTGAGACCTTCCTGGGCAGCGAGACCTCATCTCTATAATAAATCAAAAAATCAGCTGGTGTGGTAGCGCATGCCTGTAATTCCGGCTACTTGGAAGGCTGAGGTGGAAGGATCGTCGGAGTTCAGCAGGTCGAGGCTACGGTGACTGGGAGCAGCCACTGCACTCCAGTCTGGGTGACAGAGTGAGACTCCAACTCAAAAAAAAAAAAAAGAGAAGTAAAATGGTCATCTCAGAAAGCTCTTTAAGGGAGTCATCCAAAGCTCTGTTTTTCAGTAGCACTGAAAAGAACTCAGATGAGTTGGGATCGGAGTGGCCCTGCTTCCTTAGGAGCAGTGTGGTCTTTTTAAAGTTATTCAGGGCCATTCACTCTATGTTGTTTATCTATGTGTTTATATATGTGTTTATCACTCTATGTGCTTCTGGACCAGTCTTCATTTTACAGAGATGCTCCCCACTCTCACACTCTCCCCGCCTCACCAGACTAGTGAGTTTGGAAGTGACTCTTTTGGGCACTGTGTATCTTCTGTATCCATTTATGAATTTTTATCATCATAAATTAGTTCTATCTCCTTCTAATATAGTACTGTAATAATTAGAAGCAAAATTTCAATTAGCCAAACCTGCATTTGAGTTTTGTTTTTGTCATTTCCTAGTTGTGGACTTTTGGCGCTTACTTGAGTCTAACTCTCCTCCACTGTGAATTGGGAATTCCTCTGCCAGTTAGGGGTGTTGTGAGGATTAAAATAAAACATGAAAACACTCAGCAAAGTTCCTGGAATATTTGAAAACCGACCGTAGCTATTACTTATACAAATGAACAATAACAAGTGGATGGAACGATGACTGTGTGCAAGACACTCTCGTAGGCACTGGGCCTGCAGCACAAGCAACAGCAGAAACTGCTCCGAGGAGCTTCCATTCTAGTAGGGGAGGGGAAAATTATGTAAATGAAAGTGGGTGATAGAATATCAGGTAATTGTAAGTGCCATGACGAGAAGTAAAGCAGGACAGGAAATAGAGAGCTATGGGAGTGCTGGGTGGCTATTCTAGGTAGGAAATCAAGGAAGTCACTTTGTACAGAGAGCTAAGTTAACTGAAAGAGTGAACATATTAGTTCTCTCTATCCCCGCATAACAAATTACCCCCAGATTTAGTGACTTCATAAAATGAGGAACTGCTTGTGATCTTTCCGTTTCTATGGGTCAGTAATTTGAGCATGACTCAGTTGGGTGTCTTTGTCTTGCAGGTCTCTCATGAAGTTGCTGAGAGATCTGGGCTGGGGTTTGCTGATGGCTTGATTGGAACTAGAAGACCCACTTCCCATGTGGCTCCTTCACATGGTTGATAAGTTGGTTCCTCTTTACAAAGACCATTGCTCAGGTCTGCCTGAGTATTTTCATGGGTTAGGAGCTGGCTTCCACTAGAGTGAGCAATGCAACAGAAAACAGTGGAAACAGCCTCAAAAGTCATATGCCTTCACTTCTGCCACATCCTATTCATCATACAGGTCAGCTTAGGTTCAGTGTGGGAGGGCAACATGCACAGGCATGAATACCAGGAAGCAAGAACCACTAGGGGACATGTTGGAGGGTGGGTAGCACAGTGAGTTATGCAGGAATTTTATGGGAAGATGGTTCTAGAAAGAGCAAGTACGAAGGCTGGAATCTAACCTGGTCTAGCTAGAGCACTGTGATTGGGAAGAGATAATGTAGACAGGGTGGATCAGGTAGATTCTGGAGCAACAAGTCAAGAAGTTGTGGCTGGATTGAAAATGGAATGACTTCACTTAAATTTTTAAAAGATTACTTTGGCTGTTTTATGGGACAGAAAGGAAGGAAGGAAGATTAGGGAGGATAGATCCCATTACAGCATTCTAGGAGAGAAAAGAGAATGACTTGAGCTCAGGAGGTAGTGGTGAAAGTGATGAGAAGTGTTGGATTACAGATTTACTGTGGAGATAGAGCCGGCAAGACTTGCCAATGGATTGCATGTGGGGTAGAGAGAAAATGAAAGGTCCCAAAGGTCTTCTGAGATTTTCCCCTGAACAAAAACATGGGGGTGACAGGGGAGGTGCAGATGCAGGGGTTAAGTGTAATGGTGCATGTAGTTCTCCTCGCTTCATTCGTATTAAAGTTGAGAAGCCTGTTTGACATCCAGGTCTAGCTTTCAACATGCTAGCCAGAAAATTCTTGATCCTGCCTCATTACACGGTGTAAGAAATAATGAAGGATTATAACTATTTTTACAGTATATAATTAAATCAGACAAACTCTCATAATTTAAAAAAATAAAATAATTGTGATTGAATACTACAATGTACTTAGGATTTATAACTGTGGTCTAGTTTTCTATACTAATAAAAGTTTATAACTGTAGTCTTGTCTCGTAGTCTGTTTCTTCAACTTAAGTTTTAAAATACTGTATTTTCTGTTAGCCAAAGTGTTTTGGACAAATGCTATAAGTATGAAAATTAAATGTCAATAAAACTTTAAACATCTGCAAGTTGTGCTGATTAAATTAGTCCCTCAAACCACTGTATCATGTATGCTATCCTCTATATTTCTGTAACACAAAGCCTTTAAAATTACTCAGTGTTTCTTTATATTTTTATTTCTCTGTAGCATGGAGGGTTCTGTTTTGCTCATTAAATAGTACAATTAATAAACATTTAAACATCACAGAATTAAGTATGGGGACAAAATAAAGTAACTAAAAGCCTCCTTTACCACTTGTCATTCATTCCCTGCTCCAGCAGTGCGTGATCTCCCCAAAGGGAAACCTCTGCTAGTTTAGTAAATATTCTTCCAGATTGTTTTCTGCATAGTTACACATGCAGGCACACACACACAGGTTTTTTTTAAACATAAAATTATGTACAGCTTGTTCTTTTCACTTAGTTATATCTTGGGAAGTCTTTGTCATTGTTAAATATATTGCACAGTGCTCTGATTTATGTAACTTTTTTCTTATTGATGTACATTTAGAGCTTTGAGCATTCTCAAACCAATTATTCTGGAATGTTTCTCTTTATGAAGATGTAAACTAACTTTTAAAATACCGGTCCCAATAATCTTCTGTAACAGTTGACACAGTTTTAACTGTATTAGGGAACCTCTGTTCTACAGAGCTTTCCCCACCTACATTTTGTTCTCTTCAAGTTATGACTGTGTGTATATATTAATTTGTTTTCCTTTATTGTTCTAAAGCATCTTTACTGTTACTAAAGCAGTAGGCTTTGAATCAGGCATCTCAATCAATAAAGTAGAAAATGTGCTTTAGCAAGTTAAAATGATATACTAATGTGTGTTTCTGAGCATTTCAGTTAGAGATAATTGTTTGGGGACCGGGAGAAGTAGTTTATCTGGTGTCAATGATGATCTGAGTAAGAGGGCTATGCATATTAACCAGAAACTTTGATAATGGAGCAATTTCAGAAAAAAAATTTCTTTTCAGGAAAATGATCCTATTTTATATGTAGAAGTGAACATTTGTGTGGGCAGAGATTTTCTTACCTCTCTTCTGAAATTCCCTTACAGACGCAAAATGTCTAAGTATTAACAGGCAAAAAAGTTCTTCTTAGATATAAAGTCTGCCAATTTACCAGCCGGATGTAACTTACTCGATGACTCTTTCTTAATAATTATGCATCTCTGGAGTATATAGTCTTACTAAAGAACATTGTCTTTTTATGTACTTTAAAATGATCATCTAACTTGATTATATTCTTCTTTTTTTTCTTTTTCCAGGAAGTATCTGTATGTCACATCTTCTTTTAAAGGAGTATTTAAAAATGAAGTTAAAAAGGCAGAAGAAGCAGTAAAGATTGGTATGTGTTTACCTGTGGCCTACATCACTAATGTTCATTTATTCGACATATGTTAATTTCACACTTATTCTGAGACAAACACTGTTCCAAGCATTGTAGGAGCTACCACAGTTAATCAAATGTAGTTTTTACCTCTTCGGAACTTCATAACACATGCTTTCCATCTCTTAGTTTGTCTAATTGTGATATATTTATTGTAAGTATGATCTTGAATACCCTTGGAACTAGATAAATATATATTAGAAACTCTGGTTGTCACGATGCTGCATTAGGTCACTTTATTTTATATTTGTTTTGAATCAGAGTCTCACCCAGGCCAGGCTGGAGTTCAGTGGCATGATCACAGCTGACTGCAGTTTCTATCTCCTGGGCTCAGGCGATCCTTCCATCTCAGCCTCCCAGGTAGCTGGGACTACAGGTGCATGCCATCATGCCCTGCTAATTTGTTTTGTTTTGTTATTGTAGAGATGAGGTTTTGCTATACTGCCCAGGCTGATCTCAAACCCCTGGCCTCAAGCCATCCTCCTGTCTTGGCCTCTCAAAATTCTGAGATTACAGGCATGAGCCACTACACTTTGTGTGTTAGGTCATTTTAGGGATCAGTATTGGGGGCACTTTAAGAAGGATGTTCTTCATATTCACCTCTCTTTTTGCAGGGACAAAGCTACTCTACTCCAGTTATCTGGCAGTGAGGTATAGCTTTGCATTTATATTTTGTGGATTTCAAAGCATTTTCTGTCAGCCAAAGTCTTGCTCATGGCTTTTGAATTTATATGTTTATTTATGCCCTATATATTTTCATGTTTAAGCAGAAGCTCTATAGAAAGTAGACTTGAAATGAGTAAAAGCAATGAAAGGAACATAGGGTTTTCTGGGATTATGGTCTGTGTTCCATTCTCACTGGTCATGGCTATTTGTATGGGAAATGCTCACTTAAAATTCCTTGAGAGAATTTCACTGTTTTATAATTGTCTTGCTTCTGCTTCCAGCTGAATTTGTATTGAAAGAAGCACAAATCAAAGTAAGCCAGCCTGACAGCACCTCTTTGTCTCCTGCCAAGGTATGGCGTGTAAAGAGCAGTCTTCTTAAGTGACAAGTAGTATCATTTGCTTTTTTTCTGTGCATAGTTGTCTCTTATCATTTACTTCCTAAATTTTTAAGCACAGGTAAACTCAGAAGATTACATTGATTTTATCACAGGTAAACAGAATAGATGAGTGTAGAGAGAGGAGAGGAATCCCAGCAATGCAAGGAAGGCTGAGACTGAGAGCAAAGGTGAACAAACATGGGGTGAATTTAGAACAGTAACAAAGAGCATCACAATCAATTTCTTCAAAATGAAAAGGAAAGTAATACGAGAAAAGCAGAAAGTAATGAAAAGCTAACAGACAACACAAAACAAAAACCAAAAAGCTAGCTCATCTGGTCTCCTTGTAGACATTTATTCAAATCATAGCTCCCTATGGACCCAAATAAATGGGGAAAGCAAGGAGAGGACTAATAAGCAGACCTTTCTAGTGCTAGAAATTATGTGCTATAATTATGAATATTAATAACAATGCTTCCAGCTTACAAAGCTCTTTTCTTATGAGTTGCTCCACACAGTTCATAAACATTTTTTGTAATCCTTGCAATATGCCCATGAGTAAGATAAGTTATAAAGAGCTATTATTATTAATCATAATGCATTGCCACTAAGAGAAAAAGAATATTGCTGCAGGACATGTATTTTAAGTTTGCTAACTTTTGCCAAAAATATGTTATAAAACTTTCCACCATGGTGAATCATTAAACAACACGTTTGTTTGCTTACATACAAAGGGATAAGTAGGACCTGTGAGTCTTTTCTACAGACTCAATATATGAATCCTTTTCGTGATTTGCCCTGTAACTTTCCAGGACCAAGGCAGTATCTGATAAAGAGCTCTCATCTCTAAGGGTCCTGAGTGAAGGATGAGCTCAAAGAGTAACGTGTGGTGATGCCCCAAAGCTAAATCTATCCATGGCTTCCTCAAAATTCTGTTACTTTTTTCTTTTCGTTAATTTTTGTAAGTTAAAGATAAACCTCTCTTATTGTGATTAATTATTGATATTTTTGTAGTTTAAGCCTTTAAATTTTTGTCTCTAAGAAATCAGTTCCCTTTACTTTATGTGTTTGAGAATCAAGAGAAGGACTGATGAGTTGGGACCTTGCTTCCTTCTTTCCCTTTGCGTGTTACTTCTGCCAATCTCTCTGCTCTGTGCTCTGAGGGTGCTACCAGGGAGGTGTGGGAAGCCTTTGACTCGCTTGCTTTGTTGCTCTGAGTACCCTAGTTTCTCTAAGAAAGAGAAGAAGGCAAAACAGAATGACCTAAGCTTTTTACCTCTAAAGTTCTTCCAGGCAGTTGAATTTGAAATAAAATAGCTACTATTTCTTTTTTATATTTTCTTTTCCTGGAAAGTCAGTGAGAAGAGTGTTCCATGAGTGGCATACCCACCAAAAGAAATGCCCACCTTTCATATCAAGTGGATGCAGCACATTAAAAGTCTATTCTTATATGTGAGAGCAATAATAGTGAATTAGTTCTCTTCCACCTCATTAGAGGGAGCATGCCAGATATAGGGTAGTGAGATAGTTAAGGGCCGGGAATGATGGCTCAGCCTGTAATCCCAGCACTTTGGGAGACTGAAGCAAGACAATTGCCTGACCCTGGGAGTTTGAGACCAGCGTGGGCAACTTGGCGAGACCTCGTCTCTACAATAAATCAAAAAATAAGCCGGGTGTGGTAGTGTGTGCCTGTGGTTCCAGCTACTTGGAAGGCTGAGGCGGAAGGATCACCTAAGCCCAGCAGGTCGAGGCTGCGATGGCTGTGAGCATGTCACTGCACTCTAGCCTGGGTGACAGAGTGAGATTCCAAGCTAAAAAAAAAAAAGAGTAGGTAGGAAAGGCAGCTGAGTACTGGTATTGGTGCACTCTGAAAGAGAGGAAGCCTAGGGATGGGGTATCCTGTAAAGAGAAAGCTTTGGATGTTCAAGTTAGAGATATCCAGAATATGATATGAAGAAGGCATTTTCTTTTGGCTACTAATGAAATTTCTTAATGACCTTTTTCTTTTTCCTGAAAGAACTCTTAGTGATCACATGAATGAGCCCTTCTTTGCATAGACAAAAAAAATCAGCGCCTAGGTACACTGAGTAACTCACCCAAGTTTTCACAGGTTTGTGTGAAAGCCATTGTGCTATTATAGGGAATAAAAGTTCTTTCTCTAAAAGGCAGAGAGGACCTCTGAATATGTACAAAGAGAACATTGGATTAGGATTTGGTTTATCTTCTTAGCTATTGGAACTTAGTCATTTATCAGGTATTGAGAGTCTGTCATGGTAGAATTTCATTAAGCAATATAAGCTATCATTGTTACCTTTGAAACATTTGGATAATAGGATAATATCAACTTGCCTGTTGTTAATTCAGTGGCATTGTGTTCTCTCCCAATCAAATGTACTCCTCCAGGATGTATTACAGAAAGCTTTGGAAGATGTCGAAGCAAAGCACATGAATCTAAAAGAGAAACGGAGGTAAGACGTAGATTTTCTGTTGGAACAATTCTCTGTACTATGTTAAAAGAAATTCTGCTTTCTAAGTAGGTGGTAGATTTGGTGGTTTTTGTGACAGTTTCTCTTTTTCTTTTTTTTTTGAGTTGGAGTCTCACTCTGTCGCCCAGACTGGAGTGCAGTGGCCGCTCCCGGCCACCGCAGCCTCGACCTGCTGGGCTCCGGCGATCCTTCCGCCTCAGCCTTCCAAGTAGCCGGAATTACAGGCATGCGCTACCATGCCAGGCTGATTTTTTTGATTTATTGTAGAGATGAGGTCTTGCTGCCCAGGCGGGTCTTGAACCCACGGGCTCAGGCAATCCACTCACCTCAGCCTCCCAAAGGCACGGGATTACAGGCTGAGCCACCGAGCCCGGCTAGTTTCTCTTTTTCAACTTGTGGCCACCTCATAGTAGGAGTATTAATTTGGTTAAGGACCCTCAACCAAGATAAGCAATATTTATAGAGTACACATTTGTATGTATACATATTTGTCTACATAATGTGAAAACTTCTGGAAAAAAGGTGAAAAATTAGTTCAGCATTTGACTGTTTGGTCTGGATGAAGGTGTCTGGATGAGGAAGTGAACTGCCTAGAGGGTCAGCTGGCAACTGACTTGCCTTTTGTGGCATTTGCCATGTACCTTCTGGGAAGTTGGTTTCAGTTTCTTTCCTTGTCCTAGTATCTTAACATTTAAGATAGAAATTCATGTTTCCAGTGAATGTGTTACTTATCTATAGTTTAATAAAAGTAGCAAGGCTATATTAACAAAATCAAATATTTATATTTATAAGATTAGCTGCCCTTCGACTCAGATGCTAAGCAAGTTAAACTGAAAATAATCCCTGCTGCCTACATGACATACAATGTTGAAAACTATGGTATCTTTGTGAAACTGTTTTTTTGGGGAAGTATGAGTTTTCAACATTATTTGTGGTAAACTACCTACTAACATATAACCATAACTTCCTCAAAACATAAACTTAAGTTATGATGCTTTTATCAAAATAAGTAAATTTTAAATGTTATTTATGCATTTATCAGAGCAGTTTAGATATCATAGACATTTTAATTGAAAAACAAAGGCCTCTCTAAGGTCTTTAGAAAAATACCATGTTGAAACAAGTTCACTGTATGAAAAACTTTATTTATTTATTTATTTATTATTTTTTTTTTGATTTGGAGTCTCACTGTGTCACCCAGACTGGAGTGCAGTGGCCGCTCCCGGCCACTGCAGCCTCGACCTGCTGGGCTCCGGCGATCCTTCCGCCTCAGCCTTCCACAAAGCTGGAACTACAGGCGCGCGCTATCACGCCCGGCTAATTTTTTGATTTATTGTAGAGATGAGGTCTCGCCTGCCCAGGTAGGTCTCCAACCCATGGGCTCAGGCAATCCACTCACCTCACCCTCCCAAAAGCACGGGATTACAGGCTGAGCCACCGAGCCCGGCTGAAACACTTTATTAATAATAATACCTGTTGCCATGAACTTGTTTTGATAGCAAGATACTGTTTATTTTTAAACTTTAAATGCCAGTTAGTATTGCAGAGTGACTATGTCATATCCTGTAACACTCTGTTTAGAGATCCCTTACACAGCCAGTACTCTTTTTTTGTTGACAAGTTGGAATCTCATTTTTGAGTAGTGATTTTTTAAAAAAGCTTGATCATATATGTTTAAGCTTAAGTATACATACATTTAATAAATACATAATCTGTTAACCCATGTCAAGAACTTGCTCACAAAATCTAATGTACTGTGTATATCATGGCATCCCAAGTGGCTAGGTGGATATTCTTTCCATGTTTCAGATGAGACTGAAAGTTTAAGGGGCTCTTTCCTGGTTACATGGTTATTACAAGGACAAATTTGTATTTGAAGCCAGGTCTGCCTCTCACTTCTGGGTACTGTCATAGCTCCCAGCAGCCCTCTCTCTATAGGTGTTTACATCACAACTCCTTACTGTAGATCTTTCATTCATATTCTGCTATTTTTCAGTTTCCATTTTTATGCTTTTAATAGAAAAGTCACAGAAAACACAATATAGAAGGTCAGTGCCAAAAAAACAGGAGCTCATATCTGTTGCTCTTGTAAACTTGCTTTATTAACTTTTATTTACCTTTTATTTTGGAAAGGTTAGAGAGAAAGCCAAAAAATATCTTTTGGCACAGTCCAGTCTATGTAGGATATTGGGAGACTTGAAAACATGCTGAAAAATAGAAATCACATCAACTGTTAGGGATACCTAAAATTTTAAATCGCCAAATCATCATTTTTTCCAGAAATGCTGCAATGTACATATCAGACCAGTTAACATTTCAGAACTCTTTTGGCGTTTTCTAGTTCTTGTAAATTTAAATTGGCAGACCTGTTTTTGAATCAACACATGCTTGTTTGGTATAGTTATTGACATCATGTCTGTATAGAACACTTAGCTCTACAAAGATACTGAGAGTGTCCACCAGGTTTTGCAGGATATCTAGATATTTTCTATATATTCATTTGAGTTTTACCTTTTGAGTTTATTAGCAGTTTTGTAAATTCTGTGTTTTTATTTAATACATTTTTTTAACTTTCTAAATACAACTCTAGAGAATTAAAAAAAGCAAGAACACTCTCCCTCTTCTTTGGAGTGAACATAGAAAACCGAAGCCAAGCGGGAATGTTCATTTACAGTAATAACCGTTTGATCAAAATGCATGAGAAAGTGGGCCCACAGTTGAAACTGAAGTCCTTGTAAGTATGTTTTTGTTTTCAGAGGCACAAGCAGGGAGCGGGAGGTGGCAGTAAGATTCTGTCTGCAAAGTGAGATGAGTGATTAATCACAATGGGAACAGGTGTCATAGTCTCTGTTTACCCTTCCTGTCGATATGCAGGCATTAATCTGCCTGATTTATAATATCAGTGAAGCTGCATGTGTACTCTAAGGAAAAAACACACTTTTGGAAATTTTTTCAATGTGTCCCTTGAACCAACTTGAGGTTTGACCATTTCTTGTGCAATCTATTCAACTTACATTTTTAATGTTTTACCCATTTTAAAATAATACAAGCATTTTAAAGAAATTCTGGAAGAGAAAGGAAAGAAAAATCCATAGTCTTGTAAAGCAACCCTGTTAACATTTTGTGCAGCCACTACAGGTATGAGCTCTTGCCAGTCACCTGCATGAGCATATATTATCAGAGCTGTCCAACCTATTTGGATTCTAGAATAATATATTCTGGAGCTTTCCCAGTGGTCTGAAACTCCACTAGCTGCTTTCACCAATTATGTAGAGTTCTGAAGAGGCATATAGAAAAGGACAGGGTTGGACAAGATAACTGTGACCAGTAGAATGGGTCAGGGTAGCATTTATCATCTTGTTTCCTCACTCTCAAGGAATTCGCAATTCTTTTGCTATTCATTCAGCACACACTTAGAGGGTGGTATCCCATACTGGGCACTGTACTAAACACTGCAGACAAAATGATCAAGACCTACTACTTTTTGTGGTAAAAGGGTCAAGTGTATAAATGCACATTTTTTATATTGTGTGAAAACAGCAAGAATGATCTTTTAAAACCTAAATCAGTCGGCTCACATGCTTAAAACCCCAGTGCAGTCTAATAGAACTGCTTACCATGGTCTTGCAGTGCTCTTGCCACTGGCTGGCTCTGGAACCCCACACCCTAGCCATACCCCACCCTCTCTCCAGTCCTTGGTCGTCAGTCTCCTAAGCTCATTCCTGCATAAAGGCCTTGGCACTTGCTATTCCCTTGACCTTGAACCCCCTGTCCTCAGATCTTCTTACTGCCAGCCATTCAGCCACAAGCCTAAAGTCCTCACCTCAGGAAGGTCTTCCTTGACTGTCTCATTAAAACTAGCCACTGCCCTTACCCACTCCCCTGTCACTCTTCACATATTACAGCACCTGCGTTTATGTTTCTCTTACCACCTATCACCACCTGTAATGATCTTGTGCATTTATCTGTTTATTAGATTCATACTTGGCTCCCTTTAAGTGGAAGGGAAAATTCAGAATCAGGGACCTTGTCTTTCTGGTTTATTACTGTATTTCAAGTTCCTGAAACAGGGCCAGGTGCTGAACTTGAATGAATGAATACTGTGTTTGAGGTGAGCATCATGGCAGTAAACCAAACTGGGGAAGTCAAGTAAGGCTTCCTGGAAGAAGTGATGCCCAAATTTAGATTTGTAGAATGGATAGTGATGGGAAAGCAGGGTGGAAGAGAAAAGTGGTGAAAAACAAGACAAGTAGGGACCCCAAATTGAAAAAGATTATCTGTGTGCCATGTCAGGGGCAGAAAGGAGCCCTGAAGGCCTAGACAACTGGATGTTCTTTCCCAGAACAGGTTCTTTCACTCAGCAGAATGTCCTAACCATGTGCATCATGTGCTACTAAAAAGTGAAAAACAAAGTAGAGTTTATCCATCAGTCTCACAGTCAAATACCTGTTACTCTCTGGGATAACCCAACCCTAGGGTACCTTAGAATTCACTGAGCACCCTCTAAATTTCTGCAATGATGAGGAGAAATCCAACTTGACAGGTGACATGTGGACAAATAAAGTGACTCTCTGACTAGTATCATTTAGAGGATTATGCCAGTTTATTGTAGTAAGGTATCATTACTGGTGTTTAATGCTAAAAGGCCGCTCCTTCCCAACTACCTTGACAACACATGTAAGGTGATAGCGTTGGAAAGAGTCTTATGATTTCAGTAATGTTATACTAAGTGATTTTTGTATTGTGGGGCCAAACACACTTAGGATCACCATGGCTTTATGATAGTGAAATAAGACTACTTGTTAAACTTTGACATGGTCCAGACCAAGTGAATAAATTTAGTTTTGAAAAATATTGATTTCAAATGATGAGAATGTATTTTATTTTTATTTTTCTTTAGCCACATTTCACAAAACTTATAAATGCATTTATTCCTCAGACTTGGTGCAGGTGTGGTTGGAATTGTTAATATACCCTTGGAGATCATGGAACCATCCCATAATAAACAGGAATTTCTTAATGTCCGAGAGTATAATCATCTGCTCAAAGTCATGGGACAGTACTTGGTCCAGTACTGTAAGGACACTGGAATCAGTGAGTATTCAAGTCACAGTAAGAGATACTTAAAGAGGACCAATTCATGTGCTTTCTTTAAGATGAAATGATTGCATTGATTCAGGTATAATCTAAAACCCTGAAAGAGAGCTCCTGCTTTACTTATTTATTTTTATTTTTTGAGTCAGAGTCTCACTCTGCAGCCCAGGCTGGAGTGTAGTGGCACACCATGGCCACTGCAGCCTCGACCTGCTGGGCTCAGGTAATCCTTCCACTTCAGCTTTCCAAGTAGCTGGAACTACAGGTGCACACTACCATGTCTAGCTAATATTTTGATTTATTGGAGAGATGAGGTCTTGCCAAGTTGCCCAGACTGGTCTCAAATCCCAGGACTCAGGCAGTCCTCTCGCCTCAGCCTCCCAAAGTGCTGGGATTACAGGCGTGAACCACCGCTCCTGGCCGAGAGCTCCTGCTTTAAAAACACACGAGAAGTGAGGAGAGAGGCAGTTTCACAGTCTTTCCTACAATATCATGTGAAATGCAGAGCGACTGATTAGACATTGGAAGGGGAGGGCAGTCAGAGAGAAGTGTGAAGTGACTGCTGACCATGGAGGAAAAAAGCCTAAGGTTGCTACAAACAGACTGAGAAACCCTCAATTTCTGGACACTGAGATTCCCTAGTGTAAGAGCACATGATCCCATGTAGACCTTAGTGGCTGTTATAGTATTATTGTGTCATGCCATGCAGTAGTAACTATTGACCGTGGATATCTGCAGATATGTTAAACTTTGTTTCATATATTAAATAATTCTTGAATATGTTAATTCCAGAAAGTTTTCAATTAAAAATCACTAAAACAAATGTTTGGCATCTTAAAAAAGTAAACTTTAGTTATCTGGAAAATTTGACTTATTCTGATCACTTCACTCCCCAGCGATACCTGAACCAAGGAAATGGTGTGTTGTGCATTAATTAAATAAACTTCTTTTTAAGTTCTGCAGACATAGGGCTTCATTTGTGGAAAGAAACAGACAGGCTACCATGTATTTGTTCAATGATTTGCATGAAGTATGTATAATTCATGCATATCAAAAGTACGTCTCTACCCTTGAGACAACTTAAAATCTTAACTTGAAGTCGTAATTTTAGAATATTTTTTCTTTTGTACTTATCCGGCGTGGGCCTAAAATTTTCTCACCAGCGAAATAAGGAAAAGTGTGCGACTTAAGAGAAAATAAGAATGGGGGAGTGAGGTTGAGGGCACAGATTTCCTGCCAAAGCTGGATTTTCATGTCATGGTCTAAAACCTACTTAGAGTGTGATCAGTGGAACAGTGACATCAGCATCACTGGCATCGCCATTACCTGGATAACTGGAGCTTGTCAGAAATGCAGAATCTCAGGCTCCACCAGAGACCTACTGAATTAAAATCTATATTTTCACAAGATCTCCAAGTGATTTGTATGCACATTTAAGTTTAAGAAACACTGCTCTGAAGTACACCCAGGTAATTTTTTTCTTAGGGTAGGCATACTTTTTCACATCTGTTTTTCTTCAGAGACATGTTTCAAGTTATACTAAACATTGGAATGATTACAGTACTTGGCAGGTTTGCTTAAAGCTGAAGAGCACTTAGGAAAGTATAAACATAAACATAAATGTAAACAGTGAGGTGTAGATCAAACATCTACTCCCTGGTCTTTCAATGCTAGTATGACATGGTACAAAAGGAAAACATGAAGCTTGTGAAAATTTTGTGACTCCGCATTTTGCCCTTATCTTCTCTATAATCTTTTCCTTGTCTTCCTCATCTTCAGAATAAGGAATTAATTCCTCAAAAAGAGCAAGGCATTAAATGTCATAGAAATGATCTTTGGCCGGGCACAGTGGGCTTACGCCTATAATCCCAGCACTTTGGGAGGCCAAGGTGAGAGGATTGCCTGAGCCTTTGGGTTTGAGACCAACCTGGGCAACTTGGCGAGACCTCATCTCTACAATAAATCAAAACATTAGCTGGGCATGATGGCGTGAGCCTGTAGTTCCAGCTACGTGGAAGGCCGAGGCGGAAGGATCACCTGAGCCCAGCAGGTCACAGCTGCTGTGACCATCAGCATGCCACTGCACTCCAGCCTGGGCAACAGAGTGAGACTCTGACTCAAAAAAAAAGAAATGATCTTTATCCAGACCACACCTAGGAGAGTCATACTCAGTCCTGTTTGTGGGCGGGGCTCTCTCACAGCTCCTTCACCTGGTGTGTGGGCACCCTCCCAACTATTGTACTCTCAGCTCTAGAGTGTCACATGCCAGTCTCCCTCCATCACTCTAAGTAGTTCTGCATCCTTTCTGCCTACTTTGTTTTTCAAAACCTTCTCAACAGATATAATAGAGTTAAAAATAAATGTTAGAGTTTTATGTTTATTATTATTCACTAATACCAGGTTGTTTTCCCAATTTCATAATTATCTGTGAACTTATTTAGGGCTAGAGGATACCCTCACAAAAGAAGGAAGGCAGAAAATCGAGTAAGGATAGCAGGCACGTGTATTTGTTCACATGTCTCATAACTTTATTCCTAAAGTTTATTATCAAACTAAACCAGGTAATCAAAGTCAAAATTGATAGTTTCAGTAACTTCTAAGATTGACCTTCAAGGTCTTTGCTCATTAATTCCCATAGGAGTAACCAGAATTATGTAATGCTTGACTAATACTCTGAAAGTCAGTGTTACAGGGCACACGATTTTATTTATTTATTTATTTATTTATTTTTGAGTTGGAATCTCACTCTGTTGCCCAGACTGGAGTGTAGTGGCCATTCCTGGCCACCGCAACCTCGACCTGCTGGGCTCCGGCGATCCTTCCGCCTCAGCCTTCCGAGTAGCCGGAATTACAGGCATGCACTACCACGCCCAGCTGATTTTTGATTTATTGTAGAGATGAGGTCTCGCCAAGTTGCCCAGGTGGGTCTCGAACCCGTGGGCTCAGGCAATCCACTCACCTCAGCCTCCCAAAGGCGCGGGATTACAGGCTGAGCCACCGTGCCCAGTTGGGCACACAATTTTAACCAAAAACATTTGGGTAGATTTTTTTTTCCTTAAAAATAAAAGATACAGTCTTTATATTTGCTGAAAATCTAAGGTGTTTTTATAAAAAATTGGACCCTTGTAAAAATTGAATCAGCAGAAAGGGAAATGGAGAGGTAATGACTTTGTGTCATTTATCAAATCTGCATTTACCTTTGGCCCACTATGAATCTAAGAAATATTTTTCTTGTCTCTGAGTCTGATCTGACCTCACTGTCTGGCCACTGTGTTTTTTTGAAGCTTTCTACATTCTCACAATAAGGAGGAAATATTAATGGTCAACGCTGGGAAATAGGGAGAGAAGGAGAAAGAATAAATGGGGAGAAACATCCAGTGAATTGGGTTTGAACAGAAGCAATTATGTAGAAATTTATTACTAAACTTTTCCAAAATGGATCAGAATTGAGCTGATGTGATAAAACAAAATATATGGTATAATTAGCATAACCTTCCCAGCAGAATTCAAATCATGGTTCCTTGGTTGGCAAGGAGGATAGAAATCATTTAGTCCAGTCACCTTCAATTGCCTCTACCTCACTGCCATTTTAAGCCTGAGTGAGGGCCTCCCATGAAAGGAAAATTGCTATCTCTTGAGGCAGCCCATGAATTTCTGCACAACTCTATTGAAAAATACATCTCCATATTAAATCTAAATCTATTCCTCATTTTTTTTTCATTCATTCAACTGTTCTAGGCACAAGTGTAACAAATTGAACGCTCTCCTCTCTAGGGTCTTACAGTCTAGCAGGGTACTATAGTCTACATGCTTGTGTTCCTCCTCTCATCCCCTACTCCCACCCAAAATTCATACCCCAAAATCCTGACCCCTGAGTTAATGATATTAGAAGGTGGGACCTTTGGGGGTGACTAGGTCATGAAAGCAGAGCCTTCATGATTGGAATTAGTGTATTTATAAAGGAGGCCTAAGAAGGACCCCTCACCCTTTTCGTCATGTGACATGGGAGTGAGAAAGTGAGCTCTCACCAGACTCAAAATCTGACAGTACCTTAATCTTGGCCTTTCCACCTCCAGAACTGAGGAATACATTTCTGTTGTTTATAAGCTACCCAGTTTACGATATTTCGTTATAGCAACCCGAATGAACTCATACACAGGCTAGCATGATTTGACAGACAATTAGAAATAGAATTGGTACCCAGCAGAGGAGGAAGAAAGCTACAGAAGCCAGTGATTGGGAACCCACAGTCTATAGGCCAGGGAAGCCCTCCTTGAGGAAGTGATATTTCCTGAAGGATGAGGAGGAGTTAGCCAGGCCGACTTAATTCTTCCCACTTGAGGCCATGGAGGATAGGCCTAAAGCCTTTCCAAGTGACAGCCCCCCAGATAGTTGGAGACAAGAGTTTCTCTCTCTTCAATCTTGTTTTGTCTTGACTAACATTTCCAAGTCGTTTTACTCTTCTTCATTTGACATTGTTTTAAATATATTTATTATTCTAACATATTTTAAAGTGTATTACCTAGAAACAAAATATTCCAGATGAAATCTGGACAGCCTTGACTGAAAAGGGATCGTCATCTTTTTTTTGTTTTTTTTGAGTTGTTGTAATCCTGTTGGTGCAGCCTAACAATACATTAACTCTCACTAGGCACATAATTGACATTGTGTCTTTATTACCAGTTAAAAATTTTAACAAAATTTTTTATGTGTGTTCTTGAAAAGCCATACTTTTCTTTATTTTTTCCAGTAAGTGCTTTTGAGCCCTAGAGTTTTTATCCCTACTAAATATTATCACTTTATTAGCCCCATTCTTTCAGGCTGTCAGGACTTTTAAAAAAAATCTAAAAAATAAAAATAAAAATATCTAATGCAGACTTCTAACTAATGTATTATACTTCCAGATTTATGTAAAGTCTGGTTAATATTTTCTCTGTGATTTCATGTAAATCTTGTTGCACAGGATAGGAAGGTCATACACTGTGGCCCTATACTAGTGA